CATAAAAAGGGATAATACATTATAAGGTTGGCTTAACATTCTAAAATTAATATAAAAATATAATTTACCACATTAAAGACTAATAAGAAATGTTTTAGATTAATAACTAAAACAGCAGTAAACAGTATGATTTATTAGGTTTAAAAAAGGCAGGTTAGAATAAATATATTCATGGAAAAAAGACTGAACATATTAATTATTCTCCCTTAATTGTAGGCTCATCATATGTGTTTTTAAATTGTATTTTATTGAATACTCCTGAGTCTCTAAGATAAGTGTTATTACTTTTAAAATGGGAAAAAAGGAAAACATTCTCTGCAAAAACAGGGAACTCTTCAAGAAAATGTTTTTTTTAACGTTTATTTATTTTTGAGACAGAGCACGAATGGGGGAGGGGCAGAGAGAGAGGGAGACACAGAATCGGAAGCAGGCTCCAGGCTCCGAGCCATCAGCCCAGAGCCTGACGCGGGGCTCGAACTCACAGACCGAGAGATCGTGACCTGAGTTGAAGTCGGACGCTTAACTGACTGAGCCACCCAGGCGCCCCAGAACTTTTTTTTTTTTTAAGCTTAAGACAGTTTAAGAGAAAGAAAATATTACTACATAAGAGATTTTGAAATTTTTCAATTTAGATGAAAGAACAAATATGCTTACGAAACAAATAAGGAATTTATTAGGTTAAAATATGTGGAATAGTTTCTTAAGCAGATTATTTGACAGGATGACAATAATTTGCTTTAAATCCAAATGCAATGATTTCATGCAGAGGCATGTGTTTCTTAGGGTACTCAACTGCAAGCATGGTTCTAAGTAACGGGTGGAAGGTAGGATAGGTAGGCAGGCACAGGATAAAGGATGTTGCTTCAGCCCCGGGGCACTGGGTGCTCAACAATGAGGGCAATGGAGCAGTGTGATTACCTGGCATATAATTCTCTAAACAGACTGTTATGAGCTAAAAAATGTGTTCCCCTCAAAATTCTGATGTTGAAGTCCCAACTCCTAAATCCTCAGAATGTGAGTGTTTGGAAAGTAAGATTTTAAAGAGGTAATGAAGTCATTAGGGTGAAGTCATTAGTTCAGTATGACTTTTAAGAAGAGGACATGAAGAGACATACACAGAGGGAAGCCCACAGGAGACACAGTAAGAAACAACCATTTATAAGCCAAGGAGGGAGGGAGGCCTCCGAAGAAACCAATCCTGCAGACATCTTGATCTCAGATTTCCAGCCTCCAGAATTGTAGGAAAAAAATTTCTGTTGGTTAAGTTAGTCTGTGGTACTTTTTAGGTAGTCCTAGCAAACTTATATACAGAAACAACTGCAAAAATTCTATTTCATGCTCTACCACCAAAAAAGAGATTTAGAACAAACACATGGAAGGAATCTTAGATGATTTTATGGTAGACTGTGATCTTCATATAGAGCTATAGATCACTACCTGTTTTAAGGAAGTTAAATGTTCTTTTAATAATCTCAATAATATACTGCAACTTTGCTCTCTAATTTTAATAACAGTATTTCTCATTTGCATAGCATATACAATTTAAATTTTATTTGTATTTACTTCATCTGATCCTTACAACCTTCTCTATGAAACAAATAGAAACCAAACCCTCTGGTCCCAGTCACAGATCTTTGCACTATTTGTACCCAGTATTTTCTAAAATTTTAGCAAGGTTCCCCTGGTTTTAGTAAGAACAGAGATAAAATTTACATCTATACTTATCATAAAGCCTGAGTAGAAAGCACAATCTGAATCTAAAGAATACCTTGAAATAAAATTAAACAAACAAACAAACAAACAAAACCAAAGCCAACATTTATTTCCTGAGAATTTACTATGTGTCAGGCACAGTTCTAAGCTCTTTACATAAATTAATTCATCCCTAATAACCCTCTGAGGTAGGTACCTATGACAATCTCTATTTCAGGGACATAGAAACTGAGGAGTATTTTATACAAGTTAGTAAATAAAGGCGCCGGGATTTGAACCCAGGAAAGCCTGGCTTCAATTACCACATTCTTAACTACTACCCAATGAAGTGAGCATAAATCTTAATGCCTTTGGAGGCAGGCAGATTTAAGTCTGAACAGACTCTGGGCAAACTTAAGCTGTTTGTATCTTCGATTCCTTGACTATAAAATGGAGATAATACAAGAACGGATGTAAAAGCATTTAGTACAGTGTCTGGCACATAATAATGTCTAATTATTAAGCACTGGCTCTTCTAATTCTTTCATGAATATACAAGAACAATCCAGTAATATTTAACTTGGGGACTGCAAGCAAAAATATCAAAAGGTCCTCTTTTTGCATACATACCTCTTTCCTTCTACCTTCCAGAAATGCATATACTACCCCAATAACCTCATTTCCCTCATGAAAATATATTTAACCAGATTGTATCAGTTTTATATTCTGTCTCCCACAGAATATTTAGTAACTTTGATAAGGACAACAGTACAGTTATGTGACAACTTCAAAACATTCTGGACATTGCTCAAACATCTACTATTTAATGAAATTTCACCAATATCTTAAGCTTAACTGAATTTTTAAAAAAAAATACTAAGTTTGTAATGTCTTTGGGGAGTACAAGGGAACTTTTTGCTTTTATTTGAACTTTTACTACTTATTTCCAGCTTCAGAGTCCTTATTTTAGTACTCCCACTCTTCATGATTTGTATGTTTAGATCACATCCTCGTTCAATCTCCATTTTTCCAGAAAACACTACTTTTGTAGCCATGTGGAAGTCTTTCCATTTTCTTCACCTACTTATAACTGAATTTCTCTCAACCTTTTCCATTTTTGAAGCATTTGTCTTGAGATGATTCAGTGGAAGAACACTCAGCTAGGAGCCAGGAGTCCTTTCCTCTGCCACCTCATCGCTCAGATTCTTAACCTGAAAGATGAGGACTCCACTATGTAAGTTTGTAATAGGTTTCCTTAGATCTCAAAGCCTCTGATTTCCATGATTCTGGGTCTTCCCGCAAGAGGTCATTCAGCATTCCAACAACTTTCCTAAACTTTTTACTCCAGTTAGCCAAGTAGGGACAGGCATGGTCAGATTCAGGGGCAGAGGGAAGGCACGGTAATCAGGAAGCCCAGGGCTATAGAAGGAAAGACACTGACATTCTGTAAGCCAACAGAAAGAGATTAATGAGAGGAGACCAAAAAAAAGACACCAAAACCAGAAAAATGTCAAACCACCTAACTCTAACCTCACCCCTTCGTATCGATCTCAGGAGGATCTAAGAAACAGAAGAAGCTTTCAGGAGCACAGGTTACTCAGTCCTCATTTTCGTCTCCAGGGAGCAATGCAACTGTGTGCCATCTTTGCGATGTTGTTGCTCAAGTGGCCTCCTCCAGGGCTTTGCACAAAACAGGCATTACCTGGGTATCTGATGACTGAATTAGAGGTCAGCTGACCTGAAAGCCTTCATAAATGCTACCAGTACTGCTAGGTACCATGAACTCTGAGGACTCAAGGCCACAGGAATTACATGGCACTGGCTGCCCTGGTTCTAATGGTCAGACTGGGATGAGAAGATGTGGCCTAATGGTGTTGCTTAAATTCTGATGATACTCGAAGCAGCCCCCAGAAGGAAAAAGCACAGATTAATAGGCGCTGGCTATCTCTAACCCACCAAGGCAGTATCAGAATATGTATGGAAGTCATTTCCTACCCTGGTGTCAGAGTTCAAGAAAGCACTACCTTTTCTTAAGTTTCCCTCTGGAGAAGCCGGCTTCTTGGCTTAGGACTGGTGGGAGGGGAAGGGAGAGTAAATCAACAAAGGGGTAAGGGAGTTGGGCCGTTCTAAAAATTCTCAGGGCAGCCCCAAGGTGGTGTTTCTTAAAGTGTGGTATAACAGACCAAGGAAGGGGGTGCCTGCTTAAAGTGCAGTTTCAGGGACCCATCACAAATCTCTAGAACCCAAATTCTGGGAGTGGTACTGGCATTTTTATGAGCAAACTTACACTAGTGAACTATTGCCCCAGAATTGGGGGATGAGGGGGTGAGAGGGATTGGGGTGAGGTTCTTTGGACTCCGGATTCTCTACGTTCGACTACACCACTTTGTTTGGGGGGACCATTAAAAAAAAACCCTCCGTTTCGCAGGTTAACTAACGCAGCTGCAGCTAGTTGCTCAACAGCTAACGGGGGCACAATGTAAGGACCTGGAAAATGCATTTTCACGAACTGGTTAACCAGTTCCTCCACGGCCTTGTTTATCCCATTTTGTTTGTTCACTGGCTTCGTGTTTAAAAACAAACCGGCTCAACGCAGGAATTTTTCAATTAAGAATCACACAGTCCAAAATCGAAGAGATTTGTTGCTAGTGCAGAACGAGGCTTGTAAACCTGAAGTCGCTGCTATAAAGAGCATGGTTTCACTTGAAAGAAAAGATCACCCAGATGCTCTGCCCGGCGCTTCTGCACTCAGAGCTACTAACGAAAAGCAAGCGGCAGAGAAGACTCCGAAGCAGGGGTGGAGTGCGAGCAAAACGCACTCTCCGCTTCAGGCAGAGTTTGATAAGTGCGACCAACTACCTAATTTGTAAAGAGTTCGACTCACTGCCAGAAACCAACCCACCAACCAACAAAAACGCGTCTGCAAACGCGTTATCAGTAAACACTCGGGGCTTTATCGTCATTTCTCTGCCGGCGGGACGAAAGCACCACAGGCCTGCAGAAAACAGTCAAGTTACACTTCAGCTGTCCCCACGGCTGCGCTCGCGGTTTCCTGAGAAGGTGCCACCCCCTTCCGCGGACTGTAAGACTTTATCCTCCGCACGAAAACCGGCGCCCGAAACCCACTTGCGGACATTTTTCGTCCGGGGATTTCAGTCCCCCGCGGCCTTTCAATTGGGGTCCGACTCGGCGGGCGTCCGCCCGAGCGGCGGCCCGAGGAGATGCCTCCCTCCCCCCGCCACAAAGGCAGAGTCCGGGCCCTGCCCGCCGCCACACTCGCCCTACCGGGTGCCCGCGCCGCCACTTACCTGACGCTCCCGCCGCGCTCTCGCGCTCGGGGCCCGAACCCGCCCGGGAGGCGCGCGCGCACACCGCGCCGCGAGGAGCCGCCGC